CTTCCAACCCCTACTATTCTGTGATTCTGTGATTCTGTAATAGACTGAGCTAATGGAAACAGCGAGAACCATCCAATTTTTGCTTTTGCATATGATCAGGACTCCTTATTTAGACTCCTTTGCATATGTTTAGGACTCCTACAGCGCAGCTCCGGGACAGCAGATCACGATGGGGTGCTCAGGACCAAACTGTGTACTTACTCATACGTAAGCAGTGGAACGTCGCTCTTTCCTTCTCTGGTTGTGACAACATCCCGTTTGATGCCAAATGCTCTTCCACAACTGTCTTTGGCCAGAAGATCAAAAATTTCATTATTATACACTTCGACAACAGAAACCTCAACCCAGTAGCTTCCTGGTGGCTTTTCTGAAATAAGCCTGGAGAATAAAAATAGAAAGAAAAAACCAAAAAATGTAGAAGTCAAACCCCAAGTGAACAATCTGTAAATAAAGATCTGTTCTTTAATTGTAATCTAATTACAATCTGATAAAAGTGCTTATTAAATATCCACAGTTGTGGCCTTGCCTCATCCACATGCTAAGCTGAAGAATCAGAATACACAATTAAATTATATGTGAAGCAGTAAATAAAACTCCATTTTCCAAACAGCTGTGCCAGCCTAAATTGTTTTTCTCCACCAACCTCCCTCCCTCTGTCCCCCCTCAAGACTTTTTTATGCCATTTCTCCACGGGATGGTATTGGATTCAGAGCTCAAGGTACGATAAATTGTGGCAGAGTGCAAGCAACAAACAGGCAGCGATCGTAAGCTGCCCAGCTCGACCTGTGCGAGGTTACCTGTCCACAGCCTCCAAAAATTCATCAGTTAAGGGCTTGTCTGTGCAGGAGAGTATTTACAGTTAGACACAGTTGTTCTGCTACAAAATTGGATCTTTTTCATTTAGCTGATACCCTTCTCCAAAAGAAACAGGCTTAGCTGGAGAAACCTCTAATGGCTCTTCTATAACACAGCAGCGCATCAGTCCAAATCATGCATTAGGGTCAACTAAAAAAATCCAAGTATTCTCAAAGCAAGAGTTCTAGAGAGTTCTGATCTCAATCCTCTTCATCTATTCCAATTGTCAATTTTTGCAATGCTTGTAGGAACTTCATTATGTTTTGGACTCCCACAACTATGGTTGAAATATATTCAAAAGTTAATTAGGAGTCTGAAACACAGATGGACCGGTAACACACATCAAGACTGCATTATCTGATTCTCTTAGAAAATCAGTCTAAGCAGGAGAGAGACATGAAACCTGTATCAGAACTCACGTATCAAATGGCAGTCACAGAAGCTATAAATATTAACCATTGTGAAGCTGAAATCTGTAATGATAAATACACTACAAACATTGTTTCATCCTTTCTACAACGTTTAAGGTGACTGCACTGACACGAGCCTTTACTCGGTTGTTACCTGAACACTTCTTGAGTAGCTCGAGGAATAATTCCAAGTTCTGATTCATCTTCTATGGAGAATGAGAAGTTCTCCTCTAACTGCGGTCCCAACATTGTGTACGTCTTCCCACTTCCAGTCTGCCCATAAGCCATGATACACACGTTGTACCTGAAAATTAAAAGGCCCTTCATTTATTTTACCACTGCCAAAGGTGTGTGTGAGGTGGCAAGCCAAACCCCAAACAGTTTGGGAACATGAACTGAAACAAAAAATACACACGCTGCCCTGCAGACTTCTTTCTGGAGATCTCAAAATCTAACAGTATTGCTCACAAGATCGCCTAAACAGATTTTTATGTTTTTAAGCAGAGCTGAAGGGCAGAGAACTGACAAGAGAGGGGTGCTGAGCCTGGAACGACTGATGAGGTTAGGCCTCCCGTCCGCCCGACTTCCAGTTCCCGCACCGCTGAGCTGCTCGTTAATCAGCTCCTGAGCCACTGCAGTTTACAGGGCAGCATTTTAAAGTAAATTGTCGCTGGCTCTGATTTGTCTTACAGTGCTCTGCTGCAAACCACAGCACGAAAATCTCAGCAGCTGGGAACAGCAGCTCTTCAGCTCTCGTAGTCTCTCTCAGGCAGGCTCATCAGTCATAGCCCTCGGTCACCAGGAAAGAGAAGACAGCCCTAATAATAAGAGGGACAAATTTTAAACAACTGTGTTAGTTCAGTAGCAGCACATGAAGACTGTTCTGCAATAAAGGTTGCAGGAACTGCTCTGACACGGGCTTGTAGGAGGTGAAAATGTTCAACCACAGAGGCACAGGCGCCCATGAAACACAGTTCATCATCTTCTGAGCTAGGCATGTAAAAAGCATCTAACGAACAGAACTCTGAAAATGTCTGTTTCTCTGCTCTGAAAATAATTGGGGTAAAAAAAAAAGTCCACAGCTGTGAGCTCTGCTGTGGATGTCTGTGCTGCAGGGATCTGGATTTAGATGTGCGAGTCCTACCCAGAAAGGGTGTTTCTAACACAGTCGGATCAAAGTCAACACCTTAAGCGAAACGAGCGGGCAGATTGGAACACATCCAGCTCTGTCCTGAGGACCAGCACCGTCCTGTGCAGCTGCAGGTCAGCCCCCGCTCAGCTGCCTCACTCCTCAGAGCCTGCCAGCACCTTGGTGTTGGCCACACAGCTGTGCCAGCAAAAACTCCTGGCAGACGTGGAGTTACGCTGCCAGGACGGCTCCTTCCCTGGACTGCCACGTTTGCCCAGAGACGCAGCGCTAGCAGAATCTCCATACAGAATCACAGAATGTTTGGGGTTGGAAGGGACCTCTGTGGGTCACCCAGTCCAACCCCCTGCCCAAGCAGGGTCACCCAGAGCAGGCTGCACAGCACCGCGTCCAGGCGGGGCTTGAATATCTAGGAGACTCCACAACCTCCCTGGGCAGCCTGGGCCAGGGCTCCGTCACCCTCAGAGGGAAGAAGTAATGGATGATGCCGTTTAGCTCCTGTCTCGACAAAGAAGAGGTTGCACGTTGCTTGAGCACCTACGGGGACAGTGCAGTATTTACCTTTGGTAACCTAGCATCAGCAACCAGTTTAAATTGTTTGGCAATTGTTTAAATGTATATCAACTTCTAGTTACTTAATCAGTCTCTCTCTATTGCTGATTAAAACAAAAAAAGCACTAAACTCCAGAGCCTTAATCCCTTCATAGACTTCCCCAACAGATAAAGAGTGGAAAACTTGAAAATACGAAGATTTCCATGTCTTTTTTTTTTTTTCTTAGTTTTTATCACAGAATCCCAGCTTGGCAGGGCCCTCTGGGGTCACCCAGCCCAACCCCCTGCCCAAGCAGGGTCACCTAGAGCAGG